AAACTATATCTCAGGGCATGTCTCAAACTTTTCGGAATTTTGCTTGTGCAATGTATAACTTATATGTATAATATTTAGCTAAGCATTTCATATTGTATATACAAGAAGCTAGCTAAATAGATCCTAAAGGAATGGGGCACATACATACATACATATATATATATATAGATACATACATATATAGAGAGATATGTACACACACACACCTGCAACAGCTTCGACCCTACTATGATTGCTATATGACCGATTATTTCCGGGCGGAGGAAAGCCCCACGACCGCTTTTCCTAGGTCTAGATAGACGGTTCACTATCTGGCTTACAAGCGGAGTCTATAGAAGTTACATAGTGAATGAGAATGTGCCACAGAAGAAGAGAAGGATGAGAAGGATGAGAATCAGAACAGGAAGAGGTCCGGCTCCAACTTGTGCTAGTTTTCAAGTCTGGTCGACCAACACAGACCGGAAGAAAGAATAATGTGCAGACCAAACAAAAGTTGAGAGATAGAGAGCGAGAGCTGCGAGGGCTGTACTTGGAAAGCTTGTTTTTTTGGGTCTTGTCATGCTTTTGGTGTCTTTGGCCACGAAACCGGCGACCGTTTTGGCCTTTAAGGGTAAGGGTATGTATTTTCAAACCCTGTTTTTCAGAGGTTTTTCTATGCTGGGGGGTCCCCCCCAGACCCGGCTGTTCGGTGAAAAAAAGCCTTTAGGTGTCGCCTGGGACACTCGCGAGGGCAACAGGGCAGCCTGCTTCAAGCACCTCTGAACCTCAAGACGCTCGGCTTTCTCCAAGACCGACACCTCAGACCCAAAACTTCTTGACACGCCATTAAGCTTCAGCGCTGCTCGGGTATCGCCGTGAAGCAGTCCCAAACCCAAGGTTCCCAGGTCAACCTCAACAGTGCAACAGGAGATTTCTTAAACCTAAGGCCCTCAATCTAAACCCAAACTTCAAGTTTGTGCCCTCTTTCTGGCCAATACCGACAGAAGAGCTGCGTCCTTGACAACATTCGGGGTCATGTCCCAAACTCCAACCCGTCGCCCCCAGAAAAACCCGCTGTCCAGGAACGGCTACTCACAATGAGTCGAGGCATGTAGTGATGACATGTGATGGCCTTCTCGCGCTCGATCCACGGCCTGCGATCGTTGGGATTGGACCTGACGGAACGCGGCGCGACGCGCGCGGCGCGCGTGTCCGATCAAGGAAGGCCGGAGGTCGTACTTGCGATTACTTACGGCGACGGCGGCTTCAAAAAACGATCTCCGCGGGGGCGCCTGGAGCGCGAGCGGCGCCGTGGCGCCGAGGGCTCCCGCGAGCCGGAGCGGCTGTGCCGAGGGGAGCGACTGCCAGGCCCCGCCCGCCGCCGCCTCCGCCGGCGCCGGGGCGGGCTCGCGGACCTGCAGCGCAACATGTGCAACCCTGAACTTCTCCGAAGACCATCGCACCAGCACTCACGCAACCCGCAACTTGCACCAACTTGGCGTCTGGCCAAGCCCTGCTCCGCATGGCCTCCGGTCATGCAACTTTCCCCCCACCCGACGTCCAGAGGCAGGGTCAAAGAGGCAGTGAAAGAGGGGTGCTCCCAGCGCTACATCTCGCTCTTTTCTTGCCTCTCTCGGAGCTGCGATTCTTGTCCTGGCAGGTTCTAGATTCTAGCTCTCTGTTATTTTGGAGAGCCTGGTTCAAGTAAATGAATCCGACAGTCCCGGGTATGCATGACATTGCAAGCACACCTCTGTTATTTTCTCCGGGGCGGGAAGGGACCCGAGCGGAAGTGCTCACCCCTGTTGTTGAGCCGTATATGAGACGTGAAACAACAACTATAAGCCTAAAGGGGAAAAGAGCCATAAATGCAACTGTAAGAGTTGAAGATATGGTTCTAGCTCTCTCTCTCTCTCTCTCTCTTGCAATCCGATGCACAGAGCTCACACTCTCATACACGAGTTCTGAGCACATTCCTGCCTCATCCAAAGGCGAGCGGCGAGCGGGTCTAGGCTCTTTAAAGGCCCCTTAGCCACAAGCCTAAGCCCTGCATGGCTCGAGCCATAGCCGTGGCAGTGGCAGTGAGAAAGAAGAGAGCCCGCTTTTCCAGCAGTATGCGGGCTATGCAGCTATACTCAGCCCTTCTTTTTGGGCCGCGGGCACGGCGAGCCGACGTCGCGGGGCGCAGCTAGGGGACGTCGATTTCACGAAGGGGCAGCGAGGCCGCGCCGACTCAGGGAAAAAGAGTCTCTGCTCCCTCGCGCTCTCCCTTGTCGCTCTGAGCCCCTTGGCGCCTTCATTGCAGCGGGAGCGGCTGGAAGATGCAGGTCTGGCGAGCACGAGAGTGCGAGCACGAGAGTGCGAGCGCGATGGCTGTGCCTGCGGGAACCAGCCCGAGGCCTCCACGGTGCCGCCGGGCCTCTGCGGGCTCCGCATGCACCCTGCGGCCTGCGCCCTTGTCTCTCGGCTCCGGGGCCCCCGCCCCACGCGGTTGCCGTAGCTCCAGCCGTTGCCTGCGGGCGCAGGCGCCGACCAAAAACGCACGCTCTCGCCTCTCTCCGCTTATACGCTCAGGCACCGAAGCTTTGCACTGTCACGAGGTCGCCGGGCTTCAAGGCCAAAGCTTGGACCTGGAGAAAAGCGCTGACACCTCTGCACAAGCACAAACTCAACTTCGACCTCCGCATGCTCCGAGGAGTCGTAGGGACTGTACCTTGGACGTGACAGGCACGCGGCGCGACGCGGGTGGTGGAATGCACTTGCATGCACTTGCTGCCGATTGCTGCCGGCTGCCGAGGAACACCCGGAAGAGCGCCAGCGTCAGCACGCAGCGAGGGACCCAGCCAGCGTCGCTCTGCATCGACCAGTCCTCCCAAGAATGACGCTTTCGACAACTGAGATCCTTCAAGAGTTCTGTACAAAGTCGGCTCCCTCAAGCGGCTCGGGGCCTTGAAAACTTGCCCTAGGGCCCAGTCGCTGTTGGGATCCAGCTGCAGCACCTCCGAAGCGGGAACTCTTTCTACGAAACGAAGACAGGGGCCGGCTCACGCGCTCCCCTCCGCTCCCTCCGCGCATCCCGCAATGAAGACCCGGATTGGACCATGGAGCTCTGCTCTGCAAACAGCGGCGTGTTTGCGCTGGCATCACAGGAAAAGGCTTCGGAGCAGGACACAAGTGCAGGGCGGCGCACCCAAACGCAGGTGCCACGCTGAACCTGGCTACGACTCTTCAGCTCTCACAGCCGACCACTGCTCTGGGCGTCCCGCCGCCAATGTGCCACCCTCCAGGGCCTCTGCAACAGTGCACAGAAAAACCTGCTCCTTGAGGACTCCGCTCTCATCTCAACGGCCTCCCACTGGCGGTCTGCCTGGAAGAGGCCCGTGGAAATGCTCCCGGGGCTCGACGTCTCCGTGGGACGCCGATTGTTCGGCTCTCTGGAAGGAACCGCGGTGTTCGGCGGAGGCGTGGCCGCCACCCTGGCGAGCTCCCTCGCCGGGCTTTGGCCGAGCTCCCTCGCCGAGAGTGGCCCATCACCGCCGTCTCCGTTCACCTCCACCGACTCTCCTCATAAGCAGGATGCTTGGGCCAAGAGCCAAGACCCGATTCTTGGCAAAGTCCTCGCGTACTGCTTGAAGATCTCGCCGAAGATCTCGTGCAGGACGTGAAGCTTTGATCAAGTCCTGGCACGTGAAACATTTCTCTTCACCGAGCCTCCTCGCCCAGGGCACCTGCAGGGCCTTCTTTGGAGTCCCACACTCGAGCCTGAGACGCACAGGACAGCACCACTCCACATCTCAAATCCGTGCCAGGGCCTCTTCCAAAGTCTTCGCCGGCGCCTCACAGTATGCAGTGCGATTCGTACTCGTAGCTCACGGGAGCGCCCCAGCCGGTCCCACCTGGGGAGCCTTGCTCAGCGCCACTGCGATTTTCACTGGCTCCTGCGAAAGTTGAACGGGGAGGCGGGCAAGGGAGGGCGCATGGACACTGGCAAAGCTACGAGAAGCTGGCCAAAGCTAATCAAACCACAACATCAACAACAGAGAACCTTTGTTCCACGATTCACCGGTGACGGTCATCAGTAAAAACATGTGCACAACACGTGTAAACAGCCGCTAAACAACGGGCTTCATTAAAGGCTTGTCAGCCGCCGCTAAACAACGGGCTTCATTAAAGGCTTCTAGTCGGGCTTCATTCAAGGTTCCTACTCTCAGACATTGCGGCTCACTTTTCCAGCTCGCCGCTGGGGTGTGTTTTTGTCTTGAGCCTATACGTCGCAAACGTGTCAAGGCTTTTCCTATACATCTTCCAACACTCCAAACTGCGTGCTCCTCCTAGGCTGGAATGTTTAACACCCCGCCTCCAAAGTTACCGAACATCGTTTCAGATAAAGCTGGCTTCGACTCGCCTTCCTTGAAAGGATTTAAACTGTTCAGAAGCCCTTGTCCGCGGACAATTTTTTCGAATGCCTTGACATCGTCATAGCACGTTGGAGATCAACTGCAAAGAATCGAACGAGCTGCAGCTTCGAAGAAGCTTTCCGAGCCCATAAGCTCGCAATGATCCCCCCGAACCACTTTGGGCGGGTGGGAGGGTGCACTTGAGAGAAGGCACAGCGTCAGATCACGGCTTCATCACTGCTTTAATCATTCCAATCTTACTGAGCACGCTCTAACAGATTTCCACTGTTCAGAAACCATTTTCCGCGGACAAATGTCTCGAAAGCGTTGACATCGTCATAGCACTTTGGAGCTCAACTGCAAAGAAGCTGCAGCTTCGAACAAGCTTTCCGAGCCCGTACGCTCGCGATGATCACAAAGCTTCCACAGGCGAAGTGCACGAAATCAGGGAGGGCCGTGGTGGGGCGGAGTTAAAGCATAAGCAAGAGCAGTGTTGAGTTGGTTCGGGTAGACCTCCGCAAGCTCAGTAAGGGTTTGACCTCGCCAGTTGCCAGAAAGTGATCGATGGGGCTTCAATGTGCTGCTGCAGATTCCAGGGGGACCATGACATGTCTTTCGTCCTCGGGAATGTGCGCAGTTACAAACGAAGCAAGTTTCTTCCAGCGGGCGCCAAAGTGGCAGAAATACTTGCACCCAAGGCTGTGACAAATGTCGCCGTAGCGGCGGAAGCAACCATGCCTTAGAAGAGTCAGGATGCTCAAAGATATACGGGATGCTGAATTTGTCAAGTTCGTGCATGGCGAGCAAACGGTCATTGCCTTTTCGAACGCTTTCTTGATCTGCTGGCGAATAGTGTGTCTGCTTGACACCGAAAGATTCTGCGAATCGTGCTCTTCTTTGTAGGGTCATGATCAGGGCCACGCCGTATGTCCCAGAACTTGACGTGAAAGCCACACACGTCTGATCGCACGGCTAACACCTCCACACCCAGAGAAAAGCTCAATCACGTATTTCCTGGACGGCGGTTCCGGTACAACGGTGACGTGCACAAAATTTTTCCGAAATCTGCTTGATCATACGACGGTATTCCTGGTAGCTGAAATCCCACACCGGAGCTGTCGGGTGGGATTGCTTCAGAGAGTCGAACAATGCGTGGCTCCAACCTTTCAGCCACGGACTGTCGAGGAGCAGCGAAACATCGTACGCCCCCGTCTTGGTGACTTTCTCCTCCTCTTCGGGCGCCAGCAGTTTAGTGCCCAGCTGTTCGTGATCTGCTGGGCGAACGAGGCTGAACACCTCGGCTCGCAACAGCTCCGCAGGCCTGGCGTAGGTGCACACTGCCAGGAGAAGGAAATGTCCCATTTGCTTTAGCTCCACTGCAAAAGCTGCCCAAAGAGCCCAAAACATTCCAGGGGTGAGTTTCCTGAAGCCCTTCAGCGCTCTCCAAGAACGCAGCAGTCTCTGGCCTCCGAGTTTCCCGAATTTTGGCCAACGGTGAAGCACTGCAGACATCAGACGACGGTCCGCCCGATAGCTCTGGTAGCCGCCCAGGTACACGCAGTCGACCAAGAGGGCATCTACAAACGTCCAAAGCACCCGGATCATGGCGTCTCCCTTGCTGCTGGGCAAAGGACCTAGCTTCGGCCTTTCCAGTCCGGGCTCGAGTTCGGAGCCTGGACCTACTCGGTCTCCATGCCACACGCAAACCGCCCGCGTCTTAGCCCACTTGAACGGGTGGCCCAAAGCGGCCAGGGAGGAGTTTGGGCCACTTGTCGAGTAGGCATCCACCACCGCTTGGATGCACCTTGCTGTCGTCTCCGAGGCCAGGACTGGTAATTTCAACTGGTCGAAAGTACCTGCGCAACACAGTACCTCCACGAGGCATCGCATCTCATGCTTCATGAGATCTCCCCGCATCCGGCACCAACTCTCCAACCAAAGCTTCGGTCTCCTGCTTGTCTCTCCATAGCTTTGACCACCTGCAACACGGTGGCTGGCCCCTCGTGGGGCCTATCGGAGTAGCTGTATTCTTTCGCCTTCTGGGTGACCGATTTCCAGCTTTAGTATCTGATCCCCTGGGCATCGAAGTCATCGAACAAGGTACGGCATCACCTTCGTCCCCAACGACAGGATCTCCTTGAGTGGCGGTCTTTGCTGCGCCCTCCAAGCTTCAGCCTGAAAAGCCGGGACAAAGGACGCCTCCACCAACTCAAATTTCAGCCATCCCCCATCACCAACCTTGATCAGCCCGGTGACATCTCGGATCATGTAGTCGCGGCCAGCGTCCACATGGACAATTTCGCCGATAACCTTGCCAGCGAAGTTCTCGGCCGAGACCAACACCATCCCCTCTGGAGCCGGCCGCAACTTATCAATGACGGGCACCTTTGGAGAAGTTGTCGAGGGACCTGCTGCATCAAGGCCTGCATGCATCAGTCACCCCCAGACCGCGCGCCATGCGCCTTGGGACAAACCTTGCACCCAGTAGCTTCGAAGTGGCCACTGCACGCCTGGCCACTTTGACCTCCTTTGGCCTCCAGCCAGTGACCACATCGTATCCCATCTCAAGGCTTTCATCTCGCGCTCCGTTGGGTCCCTGGCAAACCGATACACGGGCGCATTCACGCGAGAATAAAACTGCACTTGCTGCCCCTTGATCTTGAACCGGAAACCGTCCCCTCCGGAGAGAGGAGTTAGGATGTACCATCCATGTTCCGAGACCCCCTTCCACATCAAGACCCTCTCGTGCCACATGCTATCATCCGGACACCTCCTGTCCCCTGGCTGGCACGATGACAACGCCGCCGCCTCTGCGTCTCGGGCTGCCATGGGGCAAAGGATACACTTGGGCAGGTGCTAGCCGGCGGATCCATAGAAAGACGTTGATTGTCACACTCACGATCAGCAAACCGAATGAGAAGTCCCAGTCACTGGGGTCGCACGAGCAATGACAGCTGCACTGAATCTCCGCTGGGAGGGGAGTAGATACTGAGATACTGGAGCTGTCAAAACAATACCGGCAAACTCCCGGAATCCCACTTCCACAACTCATCAGCAGCACCTCCGTTTTAACGGCATGCCTAGCTGCCCCCCTGCTTTGAAACTTGAGATGGCCACGCACTGTTCCGATCTGCGTTCCATCAACCCGCCGCACGCACACACATGTCTGTCTGTGTCCGTCTGTCTGTCTCCGCGCGCATCATGCGCCCCCGCCTGTTGCGGGTGGCAATGGTGAAAGCTCGCATACCCGAACGATGGAGTGCTTGCAGAAAAAGTCACTTCGGAACACACCCCGAACACGAAATTCAGGAACCTCTCATCGGCTTTGCAATCCATCCGTTCGTTGGCTCTGATAACGTATAGTTCTACAGCTCGGAGAAAGAGGTCGAGGTTTACTCCCCCGTAAAATGAACGGATGCAAGCATGATGGGAACATACTACCCAGGAGGGCTCTGAAAGAAAGGGCGGGGTAGGGAGTACAGGACCTCAGCCTTCGCAAACGAGGCTATGGGTCAGGCTTCCACCATCACGAGGTCACCAAGGAACTCACGACAACCAGACTCAACAACGCAAGGTCAAAGTTCAGATGAATCGCCTGCCCAGTCTTAATGGGTCGTATTACTACCTGAATGTGCCCGACGACAAAGGCAGCAACTCGGAACATGACTCAAAAACGGCCCTACTCCTGGTTCTAGGGTGTTTGCACACCCTATAAATGTGTCTACGGCATCGACTGGCAATCGGCAAAGGGACAGGGGGCTCTAACAGGGCACATGCCGAGTTCAACAAAGGATTACAGACATGGGCCCGAAAGGATGCAAGTCGAAAGCATTGGGATCGGAAGGGGTTTGCTCCCTGTGGTAGGTCCTCGCTTCACGGAATAGCAGCCGAAAATGAAAAAGTAGGTACTACATCAGACCAAACAGCTATTAGTATCCTAGAGACAAGGAACACACAGGGCGCACCCCCGTAAATAAAAGGTGGCTCGGCTCATGGCTCAGTACTGCTAGTTGCTGCAAATCAGGAGTCGTGGCCATCTGCATCGTCACCGTCCGAGTCGTCAAGCGCGAAAGCGGCATGCATCCGCCGTCGTCGGTGGCTTTCTTTATGCTGAGGGACTTGTGGCAGGGATCGTCTCCACGGGCGCGGTGGCATGCCAGGGACGGCGCTGTCCCGAAGATCTGGAAGGTCATTGGGCACCATATTGAAGGGCACCGCGGTGGCTTCACAACCTTCACTGCGGGCCTCCATCCGGTCTTCCACTCCACCGTCGTCTGGCATGGTAAGGTTCTGCACAGTGGGAGTCCCCCGCGCGGCAGTGGTCCACATAAAAAGCTGGGGGTGCGCCTCATGCACAACTGTAGCAGTCTGCGCGTCGAGGAAAGGTAGCACTTGTTCTAGGAAGCGCTGAGCACGAAGTATCGCCTCCAGAGGGTGTCCCCCTGCGGCTTGAGGTGCGGCTTCACTTGGAACGGGGTCGCCCCCTCCCCCAGCGTAGAACTGCATCTGCTGGGCGCTCCCCAAAGGCCTTTCGTGCGTCG